GAGTTTGGCATCCGGGTGATCAACTTGGTTGTCCTTTGGTACTAACTTGCCCAATTTTGACCGCAAGTGGATAAGTATCTTAGCCATGACCTGGAAAGGACATGATAAACAGAAGCTCAGATTCCCCAGGGATAAGGGTCTGGGTCATTCTGCAAGAGGAAAAAGGCCCACACTTGAGTCATGCATAAATCAGCTTGGTACAGGGAACTGCAGCTGCACTACAGCCCTATTCCCTCTGCCCAAACCTGGTTCCTAGCCTTCCCCCACAGGTGTTGATCCTAAGAACGCTCACTCAAACTTCCTGGCCAGGTGCAGTGGCTCACGCCTATAATCTCAGCATTTTGGGAGGCCAAGGCGGGAGGGTCATTTGAGGCCAGGAGGAGGGTCGTTTGAGGCCAGGAGTCCGAGACTAGCCTGGTCAACAGGGTGGAACCCTAGCTTTACTAAAAATACAAAAATTAGTCAGCCATGGTGGCACACACCTGGAATCCCAGCTGTTTGGGAAGCTGATGCAGGAGAATAATTTGAACCCAGGAGGCAGTGGTTGCAGTGAACAGAGATCACACCACTGCACTCTAGCCTAGGTGACAGAGCCAGACTCCATCTCTAAATAAATAAATATGTAAATAAAATAAACTTCCTGCATGCTGATTCCCATTTGAGAGTCTACTCGCTGAGAGATCCAACTCCCAGCAATACTCAATGGAAAACCAAACTGCCCTCATAGATCTATATTCTGGTGATATATATGTGTGTATGTGCTAATATATAATTATAATAAAGAAGTTTAACTTTCATTTTTAAAATATTTCCCTCTTCACTAGTTAAGCAAATTTGAATAACAGAGGTATATATTTTTAGAACAGATATAAATTGGAAAATAAATCTGAACTGCAAGATATTAATGGGTGGTTGTACAGAAAAGTCAATATAGCAGGCTTGAGAGTATTGTCTTTGGAAAAGCCTGCTTGTGAGGTTGGTTCTTGGCTGGTATCCGGAAAGTTATGGGTAAACAGTTCCCTAAACTGATATAAACTTTTTCCCAAATGGAAAGAATGATTCACTGTGCCTATGCTATTTGTACAAACAATGTGGTTTATATTGAACACCTGTTTTCCTTCTGGGAGTCTGGAATTCTGGTGCATGCCAGGCAGAGGAAACCTATGTGATCTGTTCCAATAGAAACACTGGGGGCTAAGTATCTAATGAGCTTCTCTGGTAGATAAAACTTCAAATACTGTCATACCTGCTATTACAACTCCTTGCTGGAGTTAAATTAACTATGTGACCCTAACTTGGAGAAAACTTTTGGAAGCTTGAGCCTAGTTTTCTTAGAATCCATCCCATGTGGCTTATCCCTTCGTTGATTTTGCTTTGTATTCCTTTGCTATAAATTCCCTGTGAGGCACACGGATTGGATAAAGAAAGAAAAAAGGAAAATACATATTAGACACAAGTACAAGAATTTGCCAATCCTTATTAATTCTTCTAATGAATCGCTGAATGTGGGTGTGGTCTTGGGGACACTGACACAGTGGTGTAATAGTTTTTCTAGGGAAGTCTTTGTCAGAATTTATTTTAATATTTAAACTACATTATATTTCCAATAATGAAAATGTTTAAAGATAATGAATAATAATTTAAAGCATTTTGACTATTCAAGAAAGAATATACTTTATCTAACTAAATATATTTAATGCCACCTCATTAATCTCCACCAAAGAAATTTGCTATACTTGAGTGCTTCTTACTTTTATCTATATTTAAAAAGGATTCTGACTTACAGCTGATTCACATCTTGGCTAAATTTTTTTTATAATGTTAAGTTATATATGAATGTTTTCCCCTAGATGGAATAAAGTTACTCAGAGAGGGTTTACCTGAGTAATTCTTCTGTATTTAGTATAGGACCAGGGAAAATTGTGTATATATATAACCTTCTAAACTTACAAAACATTTCTGTTTTCTTTTCCTTAAGAGGCAGTGTCTTGCTCTGTTGACCAGGCTGGATTGCAGTGGTGCAATTGTGGCTCACTGCAGCCTTGACCTCCTGGGCTCAAGTGATCCTCCTGTCTCAGCCTCCCACGCAGCTGAGACTACAGTGCACACCACCACAACCAGTCAATTTTTCTAATTTTTTGTAGAGACAGAGTCTTGCTATGTTTTCCAAGTTGGTCTTGAACTTGAGGCCTCAAGGAATCCTCCTGCCTCAGCCTCCCAAAGTGCTGTATGACAGGCATGAGTCATTGCACCAGGCCCTCTGTTCTTTATCTATCCTAAATTGGTTTTGTTTTCATAGGAAAACAGTTTAAACTGCACTGTCATCTATAATCATTTTAGTGTCCACTCCAGTGAACATATTTAGAGTAGGGCTGATGCTGTAATTGTTCAGGCATACCTTGTCTTATTATGCTTCACTTTACTGTGCTTCAATGATACAGCATTTTTACATATTGAAGATTGGTGGCAACCCTGTGTTGGGCAAGCCTATCAGCATCATTTTTCCAGTAGCATATGTTCATTTCATGTCTGCATCATATTTTGGTAATTCTTACAATATTTCAGACTTTTTATTATTTTGTCTGTTATGATGATCAGTGATCTTTGATGTTACTACTGTAATTGTTTTGGGGAGCCATGAACCATGCCCATATAAAACAGCAAACTTTTAAATAAAGATATGTAGGTTCTGACTGCTCTGCCAACCAGACATTCCTGGGTCTCTCATCCTCTCTTTGGGCCTCTCTATTCACTGAGACACAACAATATTGAAATTAGGCCAATTAGTAACCTTGCTATGGTGTTGAAGTAAAAGGAAGAGTTGCATATCTCTCACTTTAATTTGGCTAGAAATGATAAGCTAGGCCTTTTGTGCCAAACAGTTAAGCCAAGTTGTAAAGGCAAAGGGAAGATTCTTAAAAGAAATTAAAAGCACCACTCTAGTGAACACACAAATGATAAGGCAGCAAAACAGCCTTCTTGCTGATAGGGAGAAAGTTTGAGTGGTCTGGATAAAAGACCAAAGAAGCCACATTATTCTCGAAAGCCAAAACCTAATCAAGAGTAAGATCCCAAATCCTTTCGATTCTCTGAAGGCTGAGAGAGGTGAGAAAGCTGCAGAAGAAAAGCTGGAAGCCAGCGGAGGTTGGCTCATGAGTTAACAAAAAAAGCCCCCTCCATAACATAAGAGTGAAGCAGCAAGTGCTGATGAAGAAGCTGCAGCAAGTTCTCCAGAAGAAAGAGCTAAGATCACTGATGAAGGCAACTACACTAACCAACAGATTTTCAATGTGAACAAACAGCCTCTATTGGAAAAAAGATGCCATCTAGGACACTCCTAGCTAGAGAGCAGAAGACATTGCCTGGCTTCGAAACATCAAAAAACAGGTTGACTTGTCCAAGGCTAATGCAGCCAGTGACTTTATGTTGAAGCAAATGCTCATTTACCATTCTGAAAATCCTAGGAATTATGCTAAACCTACTCTTCCTGTACTCTATAAATGAAATAAAGCCCAGATAACAGCACAAGAATTTAGAGTTTACAGCATGATTTATTGAATATTTTAAGCCCACTGTTGAGACTTACTGCTCAGAAAATAAGATTCCTTTCAAAATATTACAACTCTTTGACAATGTACCTGGTTATAAGAACTCTGAGGGAGAAACACAAGAGATAAAAGCTGTTTAAATGCCTGTTAATATACCATCTATTCTGCTGCCCTGATCAAGGAGTAATTTTAACTTTCAAGTCTTATCATTTAAGAAATACATTTCATAAGGTTATACCTGCCATAGATAATGATTCCTCTGATGGGTCTGGAAGAAAGCCTTCTGGAAAGAATTCTTCATTCTAGATGCCGCTAAGAACATTTGTGATTTATGAGAGGCGGTAAAAAATGTCAACATTAAAAGAAGTTTGGAAGATGTTGATTCCAACCCTCACAGATGACTTTGAGGGGTACAAGACTTCAGTGGAGGAAGTCACTGTAGATGTTTTGGAAATAGCAATTCAGTCATCTCTTCAGGCTGCAATCTCATGATAAAACTTGAATGAATTGCTGCAATCTCATGATAAAACTTGAATGGATGAGGAGTTGTTTCTTACAGGTGAGCAAAGAAAGTGGTCTCTTGAGATGAAATCTGCTCCTCATAAAGATGCTGTGATGTCATTTTTGAAACAGCCAAGGATTTAGAATATTCTATGGACTTAGTCAATAAAGTAGCAACAGAATTTGAAAAGACCAACCCCAATTTTGAAAGAAGTTCTACTGTGGGTAAAACACTATCAAACCGCAACACATATGATAGAGACATCTTTCATAAAAGAGACAGCTGGTGCAGCAAATCGGTGCCCTATTTTCAGAATTTGCCACAGGTACCTCCATTTTCAGCAACCACCGCCCTGATCCGTCAGCAGCTATCAACATGGAGGCAAGACCCTCTACCAGCAAAAAGATTACAGCTCACTGAAGGCTCAGATAACCAATAGCAATTTTCAGCATAAAATCTTTTTAAATTAAGGTATCTACATTGTTTTTAGACATAATGATATTACACACTTAATAGACTTACAGTAATGGTATAAAAATAACTTTTATATACACTGAGAACCCCAAAATTTTTGTAACTCACTTTATTGTGATAATCACTTTATTATAATGGTCCGGAACCAAACCCATAATATCTCCAAGGTATGCCTGTGTTTATGTCATTGTTAATGGTGTAGTTTTAAGCTGTCCTGGGTACATATTATTTTAGTTTAAAAAATAATATATTATCGTGTTTGAGGACTAAAAATGCCTCTGGGATCTAAAAAATAAATGTGTACAAATAGTGGAAAAGATCGCAAACTTCTTTAAGTTCTCTTACCATCTGCTATTTCATATTACTGCTATAAAACCTAGAAGTTCAACTTCCAAAATGTAGTGGACACCTGTTTTGACAGTGCCATTTATGTGCAAATGTAATTAATTAGAAAGAAAATACATAGCTAGACTTACGTTTTCACTAAATTCTCTTGCATCCTAGGCAGTTGATCCATCTGTTGCCTTTTAGAAACTTGATGTAAGCTAGAACCCTGAAATACAAAAATTTGACTGTTTATCCTCTTAGTTCATAATTGAGCTCAGAAATAAGAGAGAGAGTCAATTCTCAATTAACTCTCCTACAGGTTCTTTTGCAGAATGTGTAAGAGCAGATGAGAAAAATGGGAGTCTGACCTTCTCCATTATTATCAAGCCTCTAAAGATTCTGGAAATCCCCCTATCTCAGCCCCATAGTCCATGTGACTTATTAAAAAAATATGGAGGAAACTGAAAACCATATAACCTACATGGTATAGATCATTAAAACTTCTTGTAGTAGATGCTAAATATAGAAAATACATGCACCCTGCCATTATGGTACATAAGACAATAGAAACTTTAGTATTTTGAGGCAAAGATAGAAAGACAATATTTTCACTTTTGCCTACCTTGAAATTCCTCCAGGATATAAAGGTGGAGACTTCTAGTAAGCAGTATAAATGTAATCTGCAATTCGGAAACAATTGAGGCTGATGACTTTAGAGATGGCAATTGAAGCCAAGAGTGAATGAAATCATTTGTTAAGGGTACACAGAGAAGGAAGAGAATCAATAATATAAACTTTAGAAAGCAACTTTCAAGGAATAGGACAATCACCAAAGATAGACAGGCCATCATTTAAACAATAAGAAAACGCAGGAAAAAATACTATCATGGAAGTCAAGTCAGGAAGAGTGGGGGGCATTCAAAGAAGTGAGCATGGTTGGCAGTGTAAAGTGACTCACAGATGCTTCACCAAACTTGAACAGGAGTTGCTATATTTGGCTATTAGGAGATAAACTGGGTGAAAGCACAATAGCGGGGTCACAAGAGAAATAAAAAGAGATCAAGGACTAAAAAGCAAGGGCAATAAGCATATTCATTTATTCATGAAGTTTGGCTTCGAAAAAGAAAGCTAAGGTAGTAGTTTTATGAAGATGGTTAATGGTAAAGTAAAGGTTTGTTTTTATTTTGTTTTGGTGGGAGGGTTGAGCATGTCACAAGCAAAGGTTAAGCCAAAGGCAATGAAAGAGATTAAAAATATGAGGAGGAATATTATTAAGTCCTAGAGGACTGGGGAAGAGGTTTGGGATCCTTTTCCTTTAAGACAGGAAGAACAGGAACAGTGGATAAAGATGTGAATAAATTTGAAAATAAAAAGTAGGAAAGTTGAGTTTCACACCTGATAGACTGTCTTTTTGTGTGTGAGCTAAGATATCGATCATTTGATATGAGTGAAAGGTTTGGGTATATTGGAACAGAAAATGAAATTCATTCATTCATTCATTTAGCTAATGTTATTGAGCAACTACTGTATGCTGCCACTACATTAAGCACTCAGGTACAAAGACAAATGGGTCATGGTTCTATTGGGGAAACAGCAAAATAAATAGGTGATTACAGTTAAGTGCTTTGATAGAGATGTGCACAGGTGCTTTGTACGCATACAGATGAAGCTAATTGAGGGTGGTGGGGGAGGGCTTCACATGGAAGAGTAGCCAGTTAAGAACTAAGGAAAGGATATTCTAGGCAGAAGGAACAGTAAGGACCTTAGGTATAAAGCAGCAGATATATCCAGGAATTGCACATAGCATTTGGTCTAAATGCATTCCAGGATATTAGCAGGAATAATGCTGCAAAGACAGGCACAGCCAGGTTGGAGAGGACCCTGCGGAGACCACATGACAGAGCTTTGCTGTGATCTTCTGGGCAATGCAAACTGAAGGTTTTTAACAGGAAACAGCACTGTTGTGTCTGTATTTCAGAATGATCACTCAGGCAGCAGAGAATGGGTGTGGTACAGTTAGTTGAGACTTGGGTAACTATGCTGTTGAGATTATATCTCAAGTACTAAATTTAAACCTAGGGAGCCATATTTTTAAATGAACAATAACAGAATTGTCCAAAAAGTCAGCAGAAATACTTGGGCAGTCTGGAATCTATGTCATGAGGAATGGCTAATGTAACTTAATATTTTAGCCTAGAAAACAAAACAAAACAAAAAACTATGGGAAGACTGATAGTCACTTACAAATCTTTGAAAAACTGTCGTATAGGAGGAGTGTAGACTTGTTCTTATTCTTCAGAGGATGTAACTAAACCAATGGGTTTTAAAGAAGTTTCAGGAAAGGAGAATAAGAGGCATCATATGATGTTTTAACAATTTTAACAATTAGAAGTTCCTGATAATGAAATAGCAAAGCCTCAGATTCCTTATCTGTAAGCTAAAAGCATTATTTTTCTCAATCTCTCAGAGCCATTACTAAAACTTTATATTTACGAGGATAGAAACTAAAACTTATGTTTATTATGTGTTGCAAAAAACTCTAATCAGTCTTTCTGCCTGACTTTAAATAATGCAGTGTACCTATGTATTAAAAAGCAATGTCCATACTGTACTTACATTGTGCATATCAGACAACTCCTGAGAGGGGAAAACTGTTTCATTCAAAACAATGAATCAAGAGTGAGACAAAGCCACAGAAAGGACAGCAGTAGAAGGATAAACAGCACACTCAGCAAATAGCTCTAGTTATCTACCAAAAAATCAATTATTTACATATTCAGCATGGAAAGAACTGCAAATCATCCATTAACCTTTCCAATCACCATAGTGTCCACATGGTTAGAACTGTCCTTCACTATAAAGATTAACTAGAGTGAAAATCCTTATTAACATTTATACTGGGGACAGGATTAACATCTTCCTGGGAAGCTGTTAAAATAGGCTTTTTTCATATGTTCAGTGATCCTGTAGAGTCAGAGTAGGATTATTTCACATAAGTGAATTTTTCAGATAAACAAAGGTAAATGAATGCTTTGAGGACAAAAGACTTTATTTTTAACCTTACAAAAATCCTCCAACAATGTGTTATATATTACCTTTTTCTTAATTACTTGGGCTTACGGTTATGAACATAAACTCGGTTTTATGTTCAGTTCAGTAAATAATTTTGCATATTTACTTTTTGCCACTCTTTGTGAAAGGGAATAGAAAGCATGAGTCACCCTGCCTGACCTCAGGGAGAAACCTACAGCTGAGTGAAGCAAACAGATAAATCAGCAATAAGGGACCAGATGGAAGGCTAAGGCAAGTAGAAATTCTGGTGCCCCTGTCACAGAGAGGGGCTAGGAGGATCAGGAAAGAAACACAGGAAAGTGATATTCATCATTTCCTGGAATTTACAACCTATTATATGCCAGAAATTTCACTCAGCACTTCACATATATTATTTTTCTACATACAAAATTCTTTCAAGATACTGATATTTCCTTTTCACAAGTGAGGAAGGAAATTAAGGCCCAGAAAGGTCACACAGTAATGTACAGAGCCGGGATTCAAATTCAGATTTGCAATGGCTCTACAGTCTGGTCTTTTCATTATGTCATGCCCCATAAAGAGGTAGTGTTTGTGCTAGACCTTGAAGGAAGTGGAATTGACATGTATGAGAAGGAGCATATTCAAGCACATAGTCTGAGGAAAGGCATAAGGGTACCTGTGGTCTAGGAGGAATCAGTGCATCCAACCCAGTATCAAGGACCGTGATGTTTAAGCTAATCATCCATTTTACAGACAAGAGACTACAAGGACTGATCCTATCTTGTCTCAATGTCTCACTTACCTTAGTCAACACCACAACCCACACTGCCCTTTACCCACCGTAGACCTGACTTTCTCAAAATTTTCTAAATATCCCCTTATTGGCTCTAATCCCCAAACCTAATGCCCTTCCTCTCAGCCCTTTCATTAATCCATCTAGATATTCCAGATTGGCGATTAGCAAATTATTCTTTATGCCAATCTCATTCTCAAAATCCTCTACCTCGTTTTCTGACCTAGCTATGTCTTCAGGATTCCAACACTCTTTTCAGCTCTTCTTCCCTTGACTGTCACTGCTGAACTTGTCCAGAGTTATAGCCTAGATTATGTTTTCTTTTCCCACTGTGTATTCTCCCCAATGCATTTCATTCATTCAATGACTTTACTTTTTATATGATAATAACTTTCAAATCTTTGTTTACTGAGAGTCATACATGTCCAACCGCTCTTTGGACACTTCCATTTCGATTGCACACATTGAAAACTGAGTTTACATCCTAATCCTAAAACATATACCAAAATAAGATTAATAGTGATTAAATAGTTAAATGTCAGATATTATGCTATACAAGTACTAAAAGATGTGGTGAATGCTATGAAACATTGAGATGGTCTTTTTAACTATAACATTAGAAATCATAAGTAAAAGATAGCTCTGACAACATCAAAATAAAAACTCTACAATATCATAAATAAAATGAAAAGGCAAACGAATAGCTTGAAAATAGATGCAACATCTTTCATAACTTACTGATCAGCTCCCTATCCTATATTTATAAGTACACACTTCTACCAACAGCAGTTCTTATCTCTCAGATCTTACCACACATAATCATAAAGTGAAGTGCCTTTAATTTCATGATAGCACAGGGATAGCACCAACCTGTTTGAATTCCAGTGATTAGAGGTGAAACTAAAAGGATAATTAAGGAAGCAAATATGAAAAATAACCTCTTAATTTGGAAAATTGTTATGTCCGTTTTACCTTTTTTTTTTTTTGAGATGGAGTCTTGCTCTGTCACCCAGGCTGGAGTGCAATGGTGCCAACCCGGCTCACTGCAAACTCTACTTCTCGGGTTCAAGCTATTCTGCCTTACCTCCCGAGTAGCTGGGACTACAAGCACCAACCACCACACCCAGCTAATTTTTTTTATTTCTAGTAGATTCAGGGTTTCACTATGTTGGCCAGGCTGGTCTTGAACACCTGACTTCGTGATCTGCCCACCTTGGCCTCCCAAAGTGCTGGGGTTACAGGCATGGCCATTTTTACCTTTTATACAAGTTGTATATGTAGGTATATATAACTGTTTACCCTCCATATTTAGAAACTTAATTCCAACATCTGCTTCTCTCCCAAACCAAAAACAAAACCTAGAAAAGTGAAAGCTATAATTTATAGTAAGAGGAAACACTAAGAATTCGAAATAAAAAGAGTTACCTGAGACATTTCAGCTAGGTATGTACGGCGTTCATTGTTGATCCTGTGGTAAGCCTATGTGAAGATACAAAAGTAAAGAATCCAACATATGAGAAGATGAGCAATACTAGCAAGGCTAAGTTAAGGTTTATGTCTCTATAGTGTAGAAAATAGTTTTGTAAGCATTTTATGATAATTACAGAGTAGGTTTGTAGATAACATTAGAAATAATGGCAGTTTCAAATGAATTGCTAAACATAAGAGTAAAAACAAACCTTTGATTCTTGTTCCAGTTTAAATGCATAGTATTTCACTTGACTTTCAAGAGTCCTCTTCTCTTTTTCTAGCTGTTTAAGTAATATGTTTAAGGATTCCTGAAAGTATAAATAGTAAAATTTTCTATGTACTCATGTTCTAAACAAAATAAGAAATGACAATTTCTTCACTAGCAAATGCCTTGTATAACTAACATTCTGTGATTTCATAATTCTATGATGTGTCCTTTTTTTTTTTCTTTTTTTGTTGAGATGGGGTCTCACTCTGTCACCCAGGCTTGAGTGCAATGGCATGATCTCGGCTCACTGCAACCTCCACCTCCCAGGTTCAAGCAATTCTCCTGCCTCAGCCCCCCAAGTAGCTGGGATTACAGAAGCCTGCCACCATGGCCAGCTAATTTTTTGTATTTTTAGTAGAGATGGTTTTGCCATGTTGGCCAGGCTGGTTTTGAACTCCTGATCTCAGGTGATTCACCTGCCTCAGCCTCCCAAAATGCTGGGATTACAAGTGTGCGCCACTGCACCGGACCGATGTGTACTTTTTAAGTAACAGTAATAATCATAATATTTATTTAACTGTAACAATATGCCATGTTTTGTACTAAGTGCTTTTCTTTTTTTCATATTAAACAATCTTTATTTGAAAAACAGTATCATACAAACGTAACATTATCTATCAAACTTCAATAAGGGCGATTTCAGCATCAACTAATGAATAGTAGCTAAACTAACAAGAGATCAATCAAAAGTCCTTTAAAGAGAGCAGCACTGGCTGATGTTCTGCTGAGGCTCTGGGCATTCAGGACCCGGCTACAGGGAAAACAGAATCAAATCAACCGGTGCTCTGGACCCAAGCCCTCACATCGTAACCTCCCTCCCTCCCTCCTGGAAGCTCTAGTGGCCCTGGCACTTCCAGGTTCCCCTGGCACTTCTGTGCCCTGTGGGCTGCAGGCAGAGCCCCAGGAACCAAAGGACCACTCTGGAAAGACTGGAACATGGCCTCACAGTCAGCTGGCTTCTGCCTGTGGTGGTCATTTTTTTTCCAGAGGGCCCAGAGAGCTCTCTCAATGGACATGGCAGTCATCCAGCCTTCCTGAGATGTTTTCTCATGGAAGAGGGTCTTGCTATGAAAACTGAAAGTGTCTTTCTTCAATTCTTGGGCCAGTTCTTGGAACAATTTGTAGCAGTCTGATACAAGCAGTTTGAGTTTTCATACACCTTGTGAAGCCTCTGGTCAGGGTCCAGGCAGTAGGTGTCCGCCTCCATGGACTATTGCTGAGGCCCCATTACATGTTCTTTGTGCAGTTCAGACAGAGTGGGAAGGGTCAGCAATTGCTTCAGGAACTACCTCTCAGGCTGTGCCTTTGCACCCTGCAAAAAGGCCTACTCCTCAGCATAGTGGTTCATACCTGTAATCCCAGCAGTTTGGGAGGCCAGGGCAGGAGGATCACTTGGGCTCAGGAGTTTGAGACCAGCCTGGCCAACACGGTGAAACCCCATCTCTACTAAAAATACAAAAATTAGCTGGCATGGTGGCACATGCCTGTAATCCCAGCTACTCAGGAGGCTGAGGAAGGATAATCGCTTGAACCCAGAAGGTGGAGGCTGTAGTTAGCCAAGATTGCACCACTGTACTTCAGTGTGGGTGACAAGTGAGACCCTGTCTTAAAAAAAAAAAAAAAAAAAGGAAAGGCTTGCTCGCCAATCAGACTTTGGTCTTGTCCTGTGAGTCTTTCCTTCTTTGGATTTCTTCCCATAATTGCATTCTGCTTCTTCAACCTCCCCTCGGGAAATAAGGATGCACCTAAGCTACCATTCTCATCCACAGTCTTCAGAGGAACTTGTGGCCAGGATGCTGGGGGACCCACTATGTCCTGCTTCCCTGATCCCCTTTGCTGCTAAGTCCTGATCCTCCACATTGTCTCTTACCACCCTCAAGCAGATGCAGAGTGCTCAGCACGGTGGTTTCATTCCTGCCTTGGCCTGCTCCGGCCTTTCCTTCTTCTCCTTCTTTGCCTGCAAGTGTCACTTCCATCTTGCAATTTCTTGGCTGGGCAGCTCGGCAGGTTGCTGATGGTCAGTGCTGTCATTCAGATCATCGGCAGTTTGCCCCTGCAGATCTTCTCCACTGTACTGTGAAGTGTGAGGGATGTGCTTTGCATCAGTCACTTGAGGAAGCTCAGGAGGCCTATTTTTTCATGCTTTTCTCAGAAGCTCACTGTTTTAGTATATTCTCATGCTGCTACGAAGAAATACCCAGCACTAGGTAATTTATAAATAAAAGAGATTTAATTGACTTACAGTTCTGCATGGCTAGGGGGGCCTCAGAAAACTTACAATTATGGTAGAAGATACTTCTTCACAGGACAGCAAGAAAGAGAATGAGAGCAAGCAGGGGAAATGCCAGACACTTATAAAACCATCAGATCTGGTAAGAACTCAGTATCACAATAACAGCATGGGGGAAACAACCCCCATGATTCAATCACCTCCACCTGGGCCCATCCTTGACACATGGGGATTATTACAATTCAAGATGAGATTTGGGTGGGGACACAGAGCCAAACCATATCAGTCAGTCAGGATTTAGAACCTCTCAAGCACAGGGTTTGGAGCGGTCAAGGACTGGCCTCCAGCATGGGTGATATGAGGCCCCTGCCGGCCTGGAGTGCTGGGAACATTTTGGCCCCGGCCTTTCCATGGACCTCACCCTGGGCTTAATCCCTCTGGGCCGTCTCTTCCCTTCTTCTCACTGCATGTCATCTCCTGACCATAAAGGCCACCACAACAGCGCATGTCCAGATCACCCAGAGCATCCATAGGTTCACTGGCACTAGTCCCAGGATTCTGCACATCACTAATTACTACTGCCCACAGGTGGGCCAGCAGCAGCTGGGTAGGCATTGTGTGACAGGCAGAGGCACTCTGTGGCTCCCAAGGGCTCTGCAGCTCTGCTTCCACTTGCCAGCAGCCTGTGGGCCACAGCTGACCATGGAGAACCCTGTGGAGTGTTTCCTCTCTAACACAAACAAGGACCTATTAACCAGGGTAGACCACCCATTGAGCTGGGGGTAGGGGAGGCACCCGGTGTTTTAGAAAACTGTGTTCTTGATTTTGCTGTGCAAATATAAATGACATTACTTATGCAATGCCTTGGGGGAGTGGAAATAGCTCATGGAAGCCCCTAGCTTGGGCTACTCCTGGTCCCATCTAGCCCTATAGCAAACTAGAGGGTCAAAGCAGGGCTATGTCATAGCCCTATGTCCACAGATAATCAGGATAGTGTGGTGGCCTATCCCTGGTGAGGCTCATGACCCTAATTTCAAGTTTCCTTCCGCTTCAGAGAAGCCTGGTCCTGCCAACAAACAGTCTGTCTACCTTACTAGATTGAGCTCCTTGATGAAAGGGCTATGTTTTCTTCATCTCCTTATCCCCAGTAGCTAGCCAATGCCCAGTACACACTAAGAGCTCAGTCATTGTTTTGTTTTCTTGTTGACGCTACTCTAACTTAAGGCTTCCCCTCTTGATCTCCATATTTAGATCTGTTAATGAGTAAGTGGGTAAAGGTCCCGCTAGCTTTAAAACACCTCCAGTATAGACAGAACTCAGAGACCAGAACCAGAAGCTGAGGAATGGCCAATGGAGCATTTTCCCTGTGTGATGGATGGGACCTTAGCTCTGGCGACCAGGATGGTATCTTGCCACTTGAAAGTCTCTGCAGAATTTGACCCTAATTTTCAAATCAGACTCTAGAATGATCGTCAGTGTTGGTGGTTTTGTTTTTGTTTTGAGACTGTTATTGACACAACAGCTTCTGGAAGTCTTTTTCACAGAGCATATGGGGGCTTCTTTGGCCAAATTGGGTGAGTGCAGGCTCCATCAGCTCCGCAGCTGCTGTCTGGGCCACAGTCTTTCTGCTGAGTTCTGCTCTTCTACAGAGGTTTTATCAGAGGCATTTGAACCAGAGCAACTCCATCTTGAATAGAGGCTGGGTAAAGTAAGGCTGAGACCTACTGGGCTGCATTTTCAGGAGATTAGACATTCTCAGTCACAGGATGAGATAGGAGGTTGGCACAAAGTACAGGTCACAAAGACTTTGTCAATTAAAAAAATGCAGTAAACGAGTGGGCCAAAACCCACTAAAAACCTGAGATGGCCACAAAAGTAACCTCTGGTCGCCCTCACTGCTCATTATATGCTAATTATAACATATTAGCATACTAAAAGACACTTCCATCAGCACCATGACAGTTTACAAATGCCATAGCAGTAGCAGGACCTTACCCTATATGGCCTAAAAAGCGGAGGAACCCTCAATTCCAGGAATTTCCCACCCCTTTCCCAGAAAACTCATAAATAATCCACTCCTTTAGCATCTAACCAAGAAATAAGCATAAAAATAGTCAACCAGCAGCCCTTGGGGCTATTCTGCCAATAAAGTGGCCATTTTTTTATTCCTTTACTTTCTTAATAAACTTGCTTTCACTTTCCTCTATGGATTTGCCTCAAATTCTTTCTTGTGCAAGATCCATGAACCCTCTCTTGGAGTCTAGATCAGGACCCCTTTCCATTAACAGACATTACGGTGTGACTGTCTATATCATCTGTCACAGGTATGAAAACAACCAAGAGCCTGAAGCTGCCGGGATGAGTGCCTGTGGAGGAATCCTGCTCCCTGCAGGCACATCTAAAACGTGTTCCTGTCCTCAGGCCCTGCTCTTTCCAAAAAGGCAGGCACAGAGACTCCCAGGATCCTGCTGCGTTGGATACCACAGTCTGTGTAGGCAGCATAGCTAAAGTGGTGAGAGCTACCATGATAGTGAGGGCCAAGAGCAGGATGGTCGAATTACAAGGCAGCATCCTACCCTCTGGCAATGAACTGAGTCACTCAGTCCCTGTCTCCTGCTCAGAGCCACCATCTTGTCATGGCTTCCTTCAGGAGCATTGTGAGCTCTCCCCCAGGACCCACTTCTTGGCTTCCCTTTGTTACTGGATGGGAAGTCTTGACTGCAAGTTGTCCAGTTTCTTGGTGTATTGAACAAAATACTCAAACAAAGCAATGGATGACAGCGACATAGATTTATTGAAGCAAAAGTACA